GATATTTAATTTATTTGAAACATGTGCCCAGTTTACAGGTTAAAAAATTTTTCTATAAAAAAATACAAAATATTAAAGATCAAAAACAATACTAAAATAATGACTAGTGTTAAATCTTATTTAAATCTCATTCAGTTTCGTTATTTTCATGTTGCTCTCTAGCTTCTACAGTATCTTTAAACTGTTTTAATATTGTTTCCATATTCAAGGTCTCTCTATGATTTTCTAACATTTTTACTAGATCTGGTTCCTCTGATAGCATATGATGGGAAGTAGCAATAAAATTTGTAATGAGTTTTTTAACTATATTTATCCTTTCTATATATCTGTTCATTTTTGCTTTATTTCTAAAAACATTTAATGAAATATGAGTTAGAGATGTCATTAAGATATTATATATATATATGTATACTTACCTTGCTACCGTAGGATTCATTTCTTCTAATTTTTTGCTACGTATCTTCTCTTGCTCCTTTAAAAAGATTTGATAATCAAATAGTGCTTTTTGACATTGAATTTTTAATTCCAGTTGTTCCTTTACTGCATCTTCTATTTTATTTGCCAATGATAAAACTTTGTCATTAAAATAATATAATTTACGCATGCAGGCAAAAATTTTCCTGAAACAAAAATTAAAACTATTAAGTATTTCTTCTGCTACAAATATTAAAGCATACACTATTTGATTCATTTTACTTTTGCATATCATAATCACCCTGTTTGCCTTCTAAAATAGCTTCTATAGTGTAAGAATGAAGGCACAATTTAATTGCTGCATCATTTATAAGAGAATTTGCAGTTGCTTCATGTAAATTTTCTACAGTTGTTTTTACATCTTCCTTTGCTTCTTCACTTGTTGTTTCTGTAATATTGTTACCAAACGATCTTTATATGTTTATGTTTTCTTTTTATCCAGAATTGTTTTACAACATACGGTATTCATTTTGTGCTTTAAGCATTAATATCCTAGAATTCAGACGTTTCAATGCTTTTCGCTTGTCTCTAATTTTTTCTTCAATAGGCTTGAAATCATCTAACGAAACAGCTCCGACAGAAAAATCGTCGACACTTTCACTTAAACTTATAAGAGCATTTTGTAAAGCTTTAAATTCCGACATTTTTACATTTATTTATTATACTTTTTTTAAGGAAAAATGAATATCAACTGTGATTTTTAATTTTTAATTTTTAATTTATTTACAACAATTAGGTTCATTTTGTTTGGTATACTTGTGATAACTATAAACGGTATATTATCCTAAATTTTTATTATCGTCACGAAGACATTACGTTTACGTAAAATAGCAAAAGGAAATACATCACATAAGATTAAATCTTTCAATACTTTTTTAAAATTAAAAACGGTAAAAGGTTAAAAGGAAACAAAAAGGTTATACTCCAGTCTATATTCGCGGTAATGATTGTAACTAAACGAAAGAAGTTCCCAGACCTACGTGATTGGTCGGTTGTATAGTAAGTTTATAATGGATACTGTAGCTGACCAGTTAACTTTGGTAAGAGGAAAGTATTTATACGTTACCATTGGTTAAAATATGGAAGAATGTAATAGTGAAAATTATAATGCAGTACTTTTTCTGTGACAAACATTTTTTTATACTACTAGATGCACTTTATTATACCATGAAAATTTCAGAATTTTCTGTCAAATTTTGCTTTTCCTTCTTTTACGCTTAAGAACATTACTTTTGATTAATGAATATATTTTACATGTATATATTATTGCACAAAATTGTATAAAGACGTACTGAATTTATAGATTTCTATATTATATACGGTAGGTAACAACCTCCAACTGCGTAATCGATAAGTAGTACGGCATTCACGCAATAGATAGCGCCTCAAATTATTTTGAAGCTCGTTCATCCTCCGCTTTTTGTTTAAATATGTGCTGTTAGAGTGCAAGAGTTAAAACGTGTTCTATATGCACTGTTCAATTTGATTGTGAGAAAACTGTATGTACTAGCAAGTTATTTATAGATATGCGAATGTGATATCGCGAGTTAAGTTGAATATTAGAAGTTGTAAGTTATTTATTTAAAAGTGCGAGAAGAAGAGCTTCAAGAAACTTTCAGTTATCTTCACTTTCGTTACAAATACGTACATTACATATTTAGAGATTACTTTCCTATTGAGGAATATAAAAACTCAAACATATCTGTATTATATGCGTCATAAATCGTATACTAGCCTTATAAGTAAATTTATTATCACGATACATAGTCTGAATTTCCGAATTCGTGAAAATTTAATCCTGCAATTACGATTCAAAAGTATGTACTTGTCCAAAGTGTGTACTGTTTTTCATTTTACAACAAATGCTCGAACTGCGAAACACTTGACCAATCTTGCGTTTCAATAACTAGGATAAAATGATGTAACGTTAATGTAAAAAAAGGAATATAAAAATGTTGAAGTACGAAAGTGGGAAACTGCGTAAATGCCAATAATTTTGTTCGCGGTATTCGAGAGCCAGCGCACGGTGACATCTATTCTCCTTATATTTTCAGTTATGCGAAACCTCACTTCACAAGAGCTCTCTCTGCTTTCTCGAGAAATAACGTTTCCTCGTATTTACGTTCTCTCCCATTTCCGTCTTTTCCAGCGTCACATGCACCGGTGCGGTGCATTCGAGCAAAACGTTTCAACGCCGTCGAAATGCAAAGGATTGAAGAAATCATAGACACTTGTTTACTTGTATATTCTGTTAGTGTGATACTAGCGAATAAGGTAATTGAACAGAATATTAAACGTTCGATCGTTATCATGTGTACCTATGAATTGTTCCTCGTGATATTAATAGGACGATATTTTTCCACGGAAGCGTTGACTTCTTGCTTTTTAATATTGTTTTCATTCTTAATAGTTCTGTGGCGGTACTTCCTACGTTTCACCACTAGAGGGACGGACCCCATTGACTATTCTCATTAGTCCTTGCTGAGGTTCTTATTAATATATATACAATTTTTAATTTCATTTTAATTAAGTTTAAAACATAGATTTCGTATGTTGCCTTTATTGGTCAGTTTATTTAGGAGGTTTTGACTTGTAACGTAGATTTTTCTTTCTGTCCCCACAATTTTAGGTTTTAATACCATCCCTACTTATTTCTTCAATTCACAGTCAACCGCTACGGTTTCTAATATCGATAATTCTGTACAAACATTTTCGAGACACAAAACGTCGCTAAATGCATATCCAACTTGTCGCTATAACAACCTCCCTACCCTTTTCATGAAAACGGAAATTCACCTTAACTTCCGCTCTGCAGGAAACTGAGTATCCTTTGAATTGATTCAAAAGCTTGATTAGCACTTTGATTGCTGCAAGTGGACGCGCGTGTGTATCTTGCCAGTATACCAGGAACCCAGCCTTTTCACCATTCAAAACACGCGTGTCCATACCTATGTATTCGGTAAATTGCTTTCGTTTCGTTTACGAATCGATGCTGCTTCAGTATCGGGTTCGAATTCAATCAGGGAATCTCGATTAATTTATGCGTTAGAATAGGTAAATAACCCTCTTTACTTTCTTCTTTTTCATTTGTATGGCTATTGTTATTTTTTTGACGTGTAACGGATATTATATAAAAAATTATTTTTCACGAAAGAGAGATGAAATGCGCACAATTCCAATGTAAACGTTTCAATTTTGTTTACCTATCTCATGAACGTTACTGCCTGTTTTGAATTATATCCTCGGAACAAGAGCGACCGTTTACATCAATTTCTTAAAGAATTGCGACAACGTTAATCGAAATGTTTATTCGTGTATTTAATATTTACGCGATGTTTTTAACTGTGATCATTATTAAACGGTTATTAAATTGCTTCATATTATAACGTTATTTAATTATACGCGCGTATAAGTGTTTATAAAATGATCGATATGAACGATACGTGTATTTCGATGTATCACACATATATATGTAATTAATATACGGAGGGTAGAATAAATACAACGATAAATCATCGGTATGCTTTTATTCCAGCAATTTGTTCGTACTAAAAGTCTTCACAAATGGCCACTCGAGATACTCGACGGAGAACAAATACGATGATAAATTCTTCATCTTTCGAAAAACAAGCATCCAAGCCTTCCTCAACTTTTAAGGTTCTACTTATTTTATTTGTTCAATCTATCAGCCGTTCGTCAAGAACGGACATTCAATTACAAAAAAATCTCGAAGAATTCCATCAATTTTTATGATTGCTCCTCATTCGTTCATTCTTCACTGTTTTAATTTAGAGGAATCGCGGGGAAAGCTGAAGCGATATATCACCAGTTGGATCGATTAATCACTATCCGTTCCTTGACATTAATTTACCGCAAAACGTTCGCCGGCCATCTCTGTACCCTGCTCCCCTCTTTCGGACCAGAGACGTTAGCGGTTACGCGTGGCGCCCCCTTTACCGATCGCTGCTAACAAATAATAGTGGAAACAAGGTGATCGTGGTACGAGGACCAGCCGCAAATGATCCCTGGTTATGTGTGTTCTTGTTGCGCGTGCAGTTCCAAACAATTTGCATGGGCGGCCGCGCCTCAAGCTGCGCCAATGGATGTCGCCGGGCAAAAAGCTGCTCGACGTATCAGTTTCCAATAAAAACCGCTCGCCAATCTATTCGTATAATAGTGGGCGCTGTTGTTTTGCGAATCAGACGATAGCTTTTCGAATTGTTTTCGAGATGCTAGAGGCGTTTCTACTTTCTTCTGCAAAAAACTGGTCGGAAGAAGTGCTGTTGCTACGGGCAATCAGAGGGGAGGGAGAGTTGAGATGGAAGGTCTTGTTTTTTGAGTAACTACTTGGGTGTAATATATTCATACGCTCGTTATTCGTAATCACTGTAAATTAATCTGTATGTTTAAGATTGCAATGGATGCGTTTGGGAGTTATGTCATGTACTACAGGCCAGAAGTTTGGAATCTCCTGGTAATTTACACTGAAGGAATATGGTTATTATTTACGAATAACGAAACGTGTGTAGGGTTTTGCTAAGTACCCTCACGGTCTTAGTACGATCTTTATTTAATTGGACTGTCGGCGTTGGAGGTCCGTGCCTGACTGGCCTCCTGACGCCTCGCTTTTTCTTATTAACTTTTGGCTGTCAGTTAATCGTACCTGATTGGTTAACCCGTCGCGTCGGTGTTAACCAATCAGGTAATTTCTTTCCCCAAGTCGCTGCGTGTCCCTTGCGCCCTTGGCGCGCTTTTTCGGGGACCGCAGTGCGACTTGGCGGGGGAGGTTTTTGCCCTGACGTCACTTGGCGGGCAGCTGAGTTTCCTCCAGGTCAAGTACTCGTGACCTGCCGGTTCGGGCCTCTGGGCCTCGTACGGCTGACCTTTCGGAAACCCTTGGTTTATGATGCGGCAATTTGCTATTGAGGCCGTCGGAGAAAGTTTCTACGCGGACATGCATTGTCGAATTTTTAGAAATTAAATAAGCTAAAAACGGTTTCCTCAAAAATAGCCTTTCAAGCGCGCACGTCATAAACCGTGCTGGTAGTCTGCTCGCCAAATGTTCCGCTGTAGCTGGTCGCTACAACACGAATATCGAATCTGCTACTAATTCTTTATAAATTTGAAATTGATGTTGTGGAGATCAATAGTAATTTACCTCACTTCGATTGATTTGAATGTTAAAGAAATTCTTAAAATTGCTAACTATTTTCTGGAAATTTTGGTGTAACTTGAAATGCACGATGGTTCCAAATATTTGGCCGGTAGTGTGTATCGAATGTCACAAATTTTCGGTGTAGTTCCGGAAGACCCCGGTCGGCACGAAATCGACACGTTTCCGAGATAATGACAAAAAACTTTCAGTACTATACAGCAATGCAGACGACGATATCAGCTGGTACTGATGCATCGATATAGAAAGAGCCAAAAATACGTACGTAGTTGTTTATATTTAACAATAGTTAATAATATGAATACTTAATTTATAATATTGTAGGAACCGAGGAAAAATTTGAGGGACCAAGTGTAAAATCGAATCTGCCACCTGTTCGTTGCTCGTGAAAGTGTCTTCACTGCCGGCGAACATGTTCGCGAACTGCCCGCCCAGCATCACGCAGAGGCTCACTCCGCGAAGTCTGTTCTA